TCTTCAATTAGCCAACAACCGGACCTTCCGATCGACAAAACCTGAATGACTTCCATCGAAGGTTAAGTGGCAACCTCTGACCCTTCTGTCACGTACTTCCTGTCCTAAGGTCAACTGCATAATGAAATTTCTTCTACTAGAACATTCTAAAGGACAAAGCGCGCGAAATCATGACTTAGCAAAATTGCCTCCCTTTCCCTGCTTATTTTCACAATGAATCAAAGCTTGTACAAAAATTGCAAATAAAAGAAAAATAAATAATATCCATTAAACTAAATAATATTCCCAGAAGCATCTGTTTTTCCCCAAAATTAAAGCATTAAAATAAATTATTCAGAATCAAATAAAATTAAGATTTCCATAAATCAGAAAATCATTCACCTAGTTTTTATAACGCCATCAGACAAATTCTCTACACAACAGTTTTCTAGGTTCTCTTTACAAAGGTTCTCTATGAAAGCATCTTAATCAAATAGCTCCCATGTTCTTTCTATGTTCAAATAACCACTGTAGTTAAGCGCGATTTCCAAGTGAAGTTACTAGCAAAACCCGAATACTCATTAAAATCATGTAGCTTGCCAATCAGGAGTAACATGAAAGATAGGCGCCAATAATTGAATTGCTGTTACGGTACGCTGTTTCTAAACTTAGATGGTCACTCCTTAATTAAATAGCCCACCAGCGGCCGAGGGGTAAAGACGCTGAACACTGGCAGTTCGGTCGGAGGTTCGAATCCCGTGAACGGGCTGTCCGCATGGGTGTTTTCGCGGATTTCCCCATGTGTAACGTGTATACGAGCCAGTTTCTCTCAGAAAGTCCTCCACGAAGGCATCCCTCCCTTCAGGGAGATAGCCCTCGTGTGCTTTGCCATAGTTAAATAATCCAATCCTTAATTAAATGTAATTGATTTGTAACTTCTACTAGAACTGAAGGTAAGAATTGAAGTGCAAATAAATAATATCGTGTGCTATCTTGATTAATATAAAATTAAAAATATTTACATTCAGACAGAAAGTTTTTTGAAATATTTGCAATTACTTTATAAGAAGGATTTATTAATAACCGCAATAATTACTTATTACTGATTAATTATATTACTGATGATTAGGATTGAGTTCTTGACAATTACATTCTAAATTAGAATTTTAAGGATATAATAAAAATACGCTACGCGCAAAAATACATTTTAGGATAAAAAATGAGTTGATTTTTTATGTTTTAAAACTTCTTAAATTCATTTAATAAACATCGTATCCTCGTTGTTAATTGAATCCAGAATGTTGGGTGTAGTTTATATAATTATTCTTACTTGTCCACAGAAGCTGCTGACTTATCCAGCCATTAAGTAGCTGCAGATCATTTCTACATAATCACTGTGCTTTAAAAGTATGGATGATAATATCAGCCGCATTTTCAGCCACTTCAAAAGCAACAGTTTGTTTAGAAATAAATTATGCAGTTAATGTCATAAAATTCAAATAAATATCAAACGAAAATTCTCAGTTTTAGACAATTCGATTTAAACGAAGTAAAGTAGCAGACGACAAAACACCGAAGGTAAAAATTTACTCTTACAAAAATTTACTCCTATTTTTTTAAAAAAAAGGAAGATAGAGAGAAATTAAAAATATAGTTAAAAATTTGAATAATATCATCTATAATTTTAAAAAATAGCTTTCCATATAGTATTAATAAATATTTATTACGCATGATTGAGGGAAAAAATTCATATAATTAATTCTCCGTAAAATTTTACTTGAAATTTAAGGTTAAAATAGCTGTGGCAATTCACTGTAACAAAAATCCATAGACCACATTAGACGTTTTTATCACTCAAAAAAAAAAAAGATGCCAAATTTCAAAACGCGAAAATATGTAAATTCGTGTATATCTTAGAAAATTTTGAAGAAAAATGTCTAATATATTGCAGATATGCTTAAAAATACACCTACTTTAAGATGATGGTAAAAGGTTTATAGGTTATAATTCAAATTTTTTTCGAAAAATTTATAAAAATTGTTTAAAAATAGAAATTTTAAAAAATAAAACACAAAAATGGGTAAATTTTATTTGGAATAAACCTAAATTTCGAAATGTGAAAGGAAAAATAATAAAAGTTTAATAGAAAAAGAGATATTAATAAATATTTACCAAATTAAATTAACATTAAGAAGCGAAAATTTTGAAAGCTAATATTTTAAAATGTAATCTTACGATTTTTACAAAACTTGGTATTCTGGCATAATTTGAGTCGTAGAATCGAAATATGGAAAAATATTGATATGTTATTTTAGAAAAAGTCCGATTTTGTGTCAAAATATCTATGTTAGAATAGTGCTTTATATAAATCTAATACATATCCTAAGTCGCGCTTTCGAGACATGAAAAACGCAGTTTGAATTTTGTCAATCGGTCCAGTAGAACGGGAGATAAACCACTGTCCCATTTTTTTTTTTTTTTTTTTTTTTTTTTTTTTTTTTTTTTTTTTTTTTTTTTTTTGAGCAGTGTAAGTATAGACGTTATGAAAAAAAAAAAAAAAATACCTTCTGAATCCACTTTAAAATCCGTTTTGGAAAAACGATTCCTTTGTTCTATCCATAAAAGAATGCCAAATGATGACATGCCCAAAACGACATGGCACATGATGACATGCCAAAGAAAAACCACGTTCGATTGGATTCGAGATCGGTTAAAATGGATACTTTCTTTGAAATATGATATCCGAAGTTTTTCGCGATTACAATACTGCCTTTACTTTCTGAAAGGAAGCAAAAAGTAATAATAAGTGGCTAAATAACATCATACGATTCATACTCTTCCTAGAAACATCAGAAAAGTACGTAGATTAAGGTCCATGCGAAAGCAGTGAAGCTATTATAAATTAAAATAAGTGCAATCAAAAATGAAAAGGTAACTTAGAAAGTATGTACAATAATCAAATGCGTAGCACTTATGTAAATTTAAATAAATATTATAAGTAATAGTTAACCGCAATACTGGCGTCAAAAAAAAGTGCTGTACTCCAGACTTTAAAATAATATAGAATAAAATATACATACTGTTACGGATATTGTATTTATTTAGCTATTTTTAGTAGAATTTGTAATTAAAATTGCTTTATATTTCCTTGCAATGCAGCGCAAGATTTATTTGAAGATGCCGGAAAAATTAAAATACAAGAGCCCACGCGTTTAACATTTTAATAAATAGATATCTCGTAATTGTACCCTTTTTCTATCCAGGTGAGAATATTCTCATGCAGGATTTAAAAGCTAGAGTAAAACATCTCAGTTTAGTTGCTTATTAAGGGATGTTATTGATTGTAGCGAATTTTCAGTAAGATCGAATTAGTTTTCTCTCTATTTTGAATTGAGTTCTGTTAAAAGTTTCATTAGTTTAAAATATAACTACTGTGAGATATTGCGATATTGTACGAATATATCTGAAGAAATTTCAGCATTTTGTTTTATTTCTTGGAATAAGAATAAATTTTGTTAACTTTTTATCGACTTGTGCATTCAGTTTATCACGCACCCGTACGCCCGCAACAATACCAACGTCTGAAATATGCATGAAATAACAATAGTTGCATGGTGTAATATTAAGAACTAATTAAGCTGTAGCCAAAGGAGAAACATAGAAATAAAATAAGAGATCAAGAAAATTCTTAATAATGTTAAAACGATGTAACTGTTTTGCGTTAATGGTATAATGAAATATGATAAAAAGAAAGAAGAGAGAGCAGTCACGTTATTTTTAATTAAGAGAGTATTTATCGTGTCATTTTCAGGTGAAATATTTTTTTGTTGTGTGTGTATGGGTGTGCGTGGATGCATTGTAAATTTTTACTAACTATTTTAATTTTGCTTTATTGGTTCCTTTTTTTGTTTAAGTTATATTGTTTTATGCCCATATTCCTTCACAGATCTTAAGGATTAATTTTAATAAATTTTGCGATTTTTATCTTTTTTTAGGAAAGAACTTTCAGCAAACTGAAGGAGCAAGTAAAATAAAATATCTACAAAATAATTAAGAAACAAAAGTGTACATTTTCAGCCTCTACTGAAATTAATCAATATTTTCAACAAAAACATAGGGATTTAGTGAGCAAGAAAGGCAACGGAAAATTAAAGTGAAATTCGGACTCTAAATTGAAAAAAAAAAAAAAAAAAAAAAAAAAAATTGAACTATGTAACATAAATATTAAATAGTGTGAAGTATGCTCCTTCAAAATTGCTCCACATTTTAAATAAATACATTTAATTAAATTATATTACATAGTCCAGTTACATAGCAAATACGCGTTACACAGCTCTTCACACTACATTCTCAAAACCCACGCCAACTCTCACTCAAAACGAAACTTTTCTCACACAGTTGAGGGGTGCTACAACGCCTTCTATGGGAGATCTCAACATACTCCCCACGGATGACCGTTCAGAACATCAAACTACCTCTTACATGAAATTATTACTTAATATTATTCTTAGTAAACATATAATTTCTAGATTAAATAGTTCTTGCTTATAAATGAGTAATACTAAGCCTAAATTAACATATAACTATAAACAATGAATTACACAAAATTAATAACATAAATATGTACAATAACATTAAAACTTAGAGAATTCAAATGAATATCGATGAATATCAAGTTAAAGTTCAAAATTTTTCACGATACTTTAACTGTCTATTGGTAACACACACAGGTTGTGAATGGGTCTCTTGAATTCACCATCAGCAGTTTTTACTTTTACAACACGAACTCTGTAATCATTACCTGGGTAAATTTCGGTGATACGTCCCAATTTCCATTTTAAGGAAGGCGTGCTATCTTCCTTAAAGATTACTAAGTCATTTACTTTAATATTTGCTTGAAGCACGATGCCATTTTGTGCGAACTTGCAGTTGAGTCAAATAGTCTTTAGACCCATTTCCTCCAGAAGGACTGCGACATTTGCTGAACTAGTTTCCAACGATTGCGAAGTGTCAGTGTCTCGTCACACACATTTGGTTCCAGAATAGCCTTTAACGATGTTCCTAACAAAAAATGACCTCGATGTAATCATGGAAAAATCATCTGGATCACTTGAAATCGCTATAATGATCCTGAGTTCAGACATGCCTTGACTTCTGCTAACAAATTCTTCAAAAGTTAGAACTTGAGCACCAATTGCTCTTTTCATGTGACATCTTATAGTCTTTACCGCGGCTTCCCACAATCTACCAAAGTGTGGCGCAGAAGGCGGATTGAAATTCCACTTAATTTTTTCCTCTACTAAATATCTAGCTACCTTTTGGTCCGAACGATATGATTTCAGTTGTCTGTTGGCAACTATAAAATTAGTGCCGCAATCACTATACATTTCCTCCGGTCTTCCACGTCTAGCAATGAATCGTTTTAGAGCTGCTATGAAGGTATCTGTCTTCATGTCTCCAACTTGTTCTAGTTCGTATAGAAGAATTTAGCCGCTAAACTTAGTTTGCGAAAAATTCACCCAAAATTACAGTTTTGCAGTATTAATGTAATCGTTTGTACTGACTCTGAATTGAATTATTCCCTTTACTATTACCTTATTAGAAAAACATAATGTCAACAAAATGTAATAACATTACATGTCTTCAAAGGTTAATTTTGTAATAAACATTACATGTCTTCAAAGGTTAATTTTGTTAATAAAATACATAAAATATGTTCTTATTGCAGGCTAGGTGTTGTTTTACACATCTAATTTTTCTAATGATTCTTTATTTTCTTAAATGCTTTATTATAAGCAACGAATGTTCCGCTCCTGCTCTGAAGAAAAAGCAAAAATGTTAAAAATGACTGAGGAAGGAAAACACTGTTTATACGTTCTTTTAAGGGCAGTTCCCATTTTAATCTTTCAGCACCTGCTTTTTCTTCGTTTAACAAAAATCACTTTCTGAAATAGAAAGAAGAATCAAGACATTTTAAGAAACAGAAAGCTAACCGTTGCAGTTGGTAAGAAATGTCGGTCCACTGTTCACAAGAACATATTTGACTTGCGTCTACGCAGTTTCTGCGCTTTTTTCGTGTATTCGTTATTGTTAATGACATAAATATGAGAATGTCGACATTCTTCAAATACGTTTACGAAGGACCAAATAATTGGTTATATTCTTATATTCGGACCATCACCGGTTGTTGTTGCAGTAAATAAGAGTGCATAACATCAATAACATAATTAAGTTTATTATTAGTGTTATTTTCTTTTCTCATTCAGAATGCACTGTTCGTTTTACGTTGAACAGTTACATGTGCTGCTAATTAAGCTTTTTTTCCGATTTTTGACATATAATATGTTTTAAAACATTATTTGAAAACGTAACAAAATTATTTTTATTCAACATTAGTGCATGACAAACGTCGACACGATTGTCTGCGTAAGTGAGAAATAAGGATATTTAGCAAATCTTTCGAACATACTGTAATATTAAATAGTGCAATAAGCCCGAATTTCTGGATACGTGCAGGATTTAATGTGTGCTCTGAAAAAAAGTATGGAATAAAAGTAACTTATCCCCAAAGGATAACGCTTCAAATAATGTGAATTACGAGAAATTTATTATATCTTGGCATCGTGAAATTTTAAATTAATACTAGTATAAGTCAAGAAAACATAGCCAGACAGAAGACAATAGACGGACGAATTACTGCAGCAGTAAGAATCAGCCCTACCATTTTGAGTCCTAACCTTTCGTGCAGAAAATGCGTAAAGTTCCAGTCTAATAAATCTCAGTTCATCTTCGTTACATAAAGTTACATGATATCAAAATTAAATTTTTATAGCGAAGGAGTTTGACTTGAATTATTATCCCAATATATTTTTCTGGAAACACAAGGCCACTTTTAGCATCAAGATGCAACACGTGCACAGGAATTCCTTTCGAGGACGTCTCAAGTCGTAAAACATCATACATTTACCGCAGAAGTCAGCATCTAGATCAATATGGTTGAATCTTCATACCGCTTACTATTATTTTTTGACAAAATGCATTCACTTGAAACTATATGGAGATGGTCGTCAGAAAGGCACGAAAAGGAACAAAATTGCAGACACACATCATTGGCGGTGAGGACGGACAGAAGCCCGCCCTACACCTTCGGAGTCTAGCAGCAGAAGAGACCGAAAACCGGTTTTAGTGGTCAATCTCGCTCTGTCATTGAGCGGTCGCAGTGAACAGACTTGATGTTGAATAAATGTGGAGGCTTGCCTGCACACATACACCAAGTGACTCGGTGAATCTTGACATTAATTGGAGAATGTCGACATTCTCCAGATTTCGTTATTTAACAGTAACACTTGAATATGAGTGTTTGATGTTCTCAAAGAATTGATTAATTACTCATCACTCAGCTATCAGAAGTAAGTTCTTTAATCTCTGCAGAAATAGCATGTCCATTACTGATAATTAAGCCTAACTGACAGTCGTCAAAAGCATTTAGTTCAGAAGGGCGGTCACTTAGGAAGCAATGAATCTGACGGGTTAAATGGTTGAGATAACACAAGGCATTGGATTAAACTTTCTTCAGATTTTTACTCTGCTCTTCAAGTTATTTTAATGCTTCTCTGATGATCAGTTTATAAGGTATTTCTCCCGTTTTTCTAGCGTGCCTTCGTGGTGTAGCGGTTCTGCACGCTGGGCCGGTATTCCAGAGGTCCGTAGTTCGATTCCCGTTAGGAGGCAGTTGCTAATTTTTCATCTCTCCGGCTTCCAAAAGTCCTAATGTCTCTACAGTGGCGCCTGAACTAAAAGGGGTGTTGGATGAGGTTTCTCTACACCCATGATTTAACGATTGGGTCTCCTGAAAACCCCAGTCACCCTTTAAAAAGGGGAGTATATAAGATATTTCTCCCATTTTCCTAGCGTGCTTTCGTGGTGCAGTGGTTCTGCACACTGGGCCGGTATTTCAGAGGTCCGTGGTTTGATTTCCCGGGGAAGGCGGTTGCTAATTTTTCATCTCTCCTGTTTTTCCAATTAACCTAATGTCTCTACAAGTTCGTTGAGTGTATATAAGAGAAGAAATGTCATACAAAACCATCTTACAGATGTCACATCCATCCATCCGATTTCATAAATGTCTGAACTTAAATCGTGTATTTGGCTGAATTATATATTAAAATTGTTATATGATTTTTTGTTTGATCTTAATAAGCCTGCTGCAGTAAGGTATACGTGTGCTTATATTTTACAAATAGTACAAATAGTAACATTCCCCCTTTGCTATAATTAGTAAAACTGTAATATTATGAATGTCATCAAGATTTTCAAATATTTTCCTATCACCTAGATTAGAGCCTGGATATGCTTTATAAATCAGCATTGTGTTAAGCTATTGAAATATTAAAAGCAGCATCTGACTTTTTCTTTTTATTTTGTTACTGCGGTACAAGTCGTAAAAAAGTAAAATCGTGAGAAATCACAGTGAATAGTTGCTTGCAAGAATTTTGTATGATGAAATTGCGATCCGCACCATTTTCTCATTTTGCAGCCCTATGTATTTGAGAACTAATGCACTTACATCACTTCCTCTTATTTTTGTCTCAATCATAGGGGAAAAAATAATTAATTTTACCGCGCAATGGAGATGACCGCTAAGAGAAGTTAAATAGCAAAGGGGGAATGTTACTATTTGTATAATTTCCAATCAGCTTAGACCTGCATTATCTTGAATTGCACATACATGCACATGTATGTATCCTTATTATAAGGCAACGTTTATTGATTAAAACATCATTTTTCTATGCCTCCAAACTTCATCTCTTCAAGTAAACTCCTTTCATTGGAATTAGAGTAGCAAAGATTTTATTGAATCATTTTTGAAAAAAAAAAAAAAAAAAAAAAAAATTCTTTAAGGGTATTTTTAGGCATTAATATATGATTTTCAAAAAATTCAATCCTTTTTTCAAATTCGATTTACTTTTTATCACTAACATGTTGTCGAATTTGAAAACATTTATTTTCTTTAAATCAAATATTCAATCAATTCTAACTTAAATCGTGTATTTGGCTGAATTATATATTAAATTGTTATAATAAAAATGAATTTTTTTGTTTGATCTTAAAGCCTGGCTGCATAGGTATAACGGTGCTTATATTTTACAAATAGTACAATAGTAACATTCCCCACCCCTGTGCTATAATGAGTAAAACTGTAATATCATGAATGTCATCAAATTTTCAAATATTTTTCCATCAGCCAGATTAGAGCCTGGATATGCCTTATAAATCAGCATTGTTGTTAAGCTAATTGAAATATTAAATTCAGCATCTTACTTTTCTTTTTATTTTGTTACTCTACTGGCGGTTCACAGTCGTAAAAAAGTAAAATCGTGAAGAAATCACAGCAACATTAATATTTTGCCGTGCAAAAATTTTGTATGATGAAATTGCGATTCCGCACCATTTTCTCATTTTGCAGCCCCTATGTATTTGAGGAACTAATGCACTTAAATCACTTCCTCTTATTTTGTCTCAATCATATCACGGGAAAAAAAAACCACTATTAAATTTTAAGCAAGCTACGCAGGTACAAATGGAGAATGACCGCTAAGAGCAGTTAAATCGGCAAGGTGAATGTTACTATTGTATAATTCCAATCAGCTTAGACCTGCATCTAGCGTGAATTGCACATACTCACAGTATGTATCCTTATTATAAGGCAACTTTATTGATTTAAAAAACGCATTTTTCTAATGCCTCCAAACTCTTCATCTCTTCAAGTAAACTCCTTTCATTGAATTATAGTAGCAAAGATTTTATTGATCATTTTTAAAAAAAAAAACACAAAAAAAAAAAAAAAAAAATATTCGTTAAGGGTATTTTTAGCATTAATCCAGATTTTCACAAAGATTTGCCCAAATCCTTTTTTCAAATTTTCGATTTACTTTTATCACTCTAACATGTTGTCGAATTTGAAACAATTTTATTTTCTTTAAATCAAATATTTCCAGAATCCCAGTTTGATGAAGCCATAGTTTTTTTTTTTTTTTTTTTTTTTTTTTTTTTTTTTTTTTTTGTTTTTTTTTTTTTTTTCTTTTTTTTTTTTTTTTTTTTTTTTTTTTTTTTTTTTGGTTCTCAAAAAATTTAAATTATATTTAGTGGCAAATTACACTACACGTTAAACTCTCTGCCTTCTCAGCAATAAACAGCCTTTTACGCTCTTACCACCTCTTCATAAAAATACTTTTCTTTTTTTCTCATTCTTGGGGGAAAATTATCCGATGAAAAACAACTTCCGTCTATTTTCAGGAAAAACTTGCGGCTCATTATTTTTACTTATATTCTTTGCTTTTTATTGGTACACAATTATTTATAGGCTAAGAAGTAACAAGAATTCTTTTCTTTCATTGCCTTGTATATCTACTTTAAACAAGATGTTTGTGGGGTATGCTTTATTATTAGTGAA